TAGTGAACAATAAATTGATTCATGATGGTGGTGTTGTCGTGTGATAATTAAAGCATTATTATGGGTATAGGGATGTGAGTGATCTATAATGAATTAAATCGCGTGCAAATCATTATTTTGTTTTTTCTAATTACCGTGTCATCGGATGTTGCTGACCGTCAAGCTCATCGTGGTATTAAGACCTTTTTGCTGAATAGGCAGGTGGTTACAAGTGTTCTGTGGTTCCCTTGACAAAAAGATTTTAGCTCATTATGAAAGTAAGCTATTCTGGATTTGAGTTAGATTAGCTAATTTGTGAGTCAGTTGTGCGAACTGATGGTAACTTCTGTCATAAGCGCATTATCATCTTCCATATAGAGCTTCCCAATAAAAACGTTGAATTTAGAAGCTTGGCCTTACATCACCTTACCTTGGCTCTGAGATTACTCGTAAGATCATACATCACGGGTAAATGTTGCAGTTTAAGTATTACATTTAAGTTTATAGGTGGCAGTTCGTTCCACTATGATTTGATATTTAGTGGTCTTTAGGTGAACTCTTATACAATTACAGTTACCCAGGTTTGAGGGTCCATCTTGAAATCCCAAGCCCTTGAATAAATGGCGACAATTGCTCGTTCGGAAACAGTGGCAACGAAGATGATTTGTGGCTCGAAACAACACATTAGCTTTAAAATCTCTGGACCAGCATCTGAGGTCCATCCAATCAAGGACGTTGTAACTGAGTTCAGGAGTGCGGACTCCATGCAAGCAAAAGCAGCGCTCTGCACTAGTCACAAAGGCTTATTTTCTTCTAATTTTGCCTTCAAGGGAATAAACGTATCATCTCGACGTCTTGCTCACACTGACGTTCAATTTCCGGACATGTCAAGCTATCGTAGGGAATTAACTCTAGATACAGAGAAAGCTGCTCGTGAAACGGAAAACCAACGCCGTTCGCTCGCTCACGCTGTGTACTACGGAACTGGAGATATTTCAAACGCTTGTCATTTTCAAGGCTATGGCTGCTCATCAACGTGCTTTGGCCTCCATTGAGGTCGACATGAACGACATTCCTGAAAGGTCAACGAAAACCTACGAATGGCCTGGAAAACCTGCCTTCGCTAAACACCGAAGAAAGAAGGAGATTGCGAGGGAGAAAGCTGTTAAGTTATCAGAGTTACGTTATCCTGAACATGATGACGATTGTGTGAAAAAGCCCGAGTGGTTCATCGTCATTGGTGTCTGTACTCATCTTGGCTGTGTGCCCATCGCGAATGCTGGTGATTTTGGAGGATACTTTTGCACCTGTCACGGTTCACACTACGACGCTTCCGGTCGTATCAGAAAGGGTTCCGCTCCACTCAATCTTATACAGTTAGTTTAGTAATATGGGTTTTTCGTAGTACTGGACACAAATGAAGGTTTTCATTGAAGATCTTTTCAAGTAGTGAAAGAAATGCTTAGATTCCTTAACTATTGAACAGCGTTTTCCAAGCATACTATTTCATTGTGTGGGATTTAGCGGAATTTGTTTAGATGGCATTATCAGAGTTAGAGTCAGAGACATTCCTTGTTTATGCAGAAATTTTTCCTTACAGGTTTTCGAAAACCATGTTATTGCTTCCCCAGGTCGTCCCACTTGTTAAACTAATGGCTATATATTTGCCAGGATAGCAGTGATTCCTGGAACTGGTTTATTTCTAACTAGGGTTTTGTATTGAAGTACCAAACTCCTTGTGAGCTTAAGAGAACCTGCTGTTAGTATGACCCATTGTTGTACTAGTTATTTCGATACCTAAGGTTATCCATGCCACTGAACCATTAGAGGACTATAATTATAAAATGAAACAAGCATCGAAAAGTTTTAGAAAAGAGGGGAGTACATTGAAAATTCTCCCTGTTGATCTTTCCAAGAGCTTTCGATGGCGTTTTAGAGATATTTCTTCCCTTTTTTTCGTTATGAAATTAGAGGTGCTTAGTGTGCTAATTGTATCCTTAAGTTTCATCCATTTTTGTCTTAAAATATTCAGCTTTTCAGACAAGCGCGCACTGGTTGGCAACGAATTCGGGAACCTGTCGCTGTCTTTTGTCGATGACTACTACACTGGTTCAGGTCGTGATATTGAATGCTTGGAAATGGCAAGCCTGTCAATGTCCGATCTCGCTCCCCAAGCAAATCTTCCAGCTCTTTTGAAGTAGGCCAATGGTTATTTTATGTTCAGATCCATTAACTTGTTTTTTACTAATTTTTTCTCGTGTTGCAGTATGCCATTGCCTCCTGTTTACGAGATAGTAATAGATGCTGAGGATGCCGCATATGGCACTTTTGATCAGTGGATTGTGTTTGCCCGTGCCCTCGATTGTCAACCGTGCTCAGATTATATGCGTGTTGCCAGCAAGATTCCAGAAAGTACGATACCACTTGAACCGCGCAGGAAAGTGTTTGATATGGTTAGTATTACAGGTTTTGTTTATTTTTATACATGGTAAATAGATTTCATCCTATTTCTCTTTTCTCGGATCTATCTGCTTTCTCTTTCCTCATATCAGCTAGGTAACATTCGATATGGTTTAATCACCTAAGCTTTGATGCAAATTCCGAAAATACTATTGTATTAACGAAGTTCTGTCAGATATATTATTGAAGTTTTGTATTCTATTCAGTGGTGTCTTCAGTTGTGGTTTCAGAAGCCCGAAACTGTAGAGGAGGTGGAAGTTTCATTGGTTGTGAAAGAAGAATCATCAGTTCCTCCTGGAACTGGAGTAGCAGCACTGTTAGAGCAACTGAGATCAATTCTTGGGGTAGATAGGCATATCGATTACCAATTGGATACTCCACCGTTGTCTCCGGAACCTTCTACAATGGGTATGTTGTTCATAATTTCCGTCTGGAAAACAATTTCTATTTTTAATCTCCTGCTTCAAATACTCATTCTGAGCTCATAGTGTTCTGCACTAGCAGAACTAGAATGAGCTAGAATCTGCACACCGTTGGCTACAAGACTTTATTCAGTCATTGTAATGTTTAAGGAATCCATCAATTTTTTGAAGGCGTTTTGACAGCCGTTTAGTTTTTGTGTTTTTTTAAAAAGTGGTTTTCTAAGTTGCTTGAGGAATTGGCCAGTAGTGAGAACCCCATTGGATGTACGTGTAGACATTGTATCTTCTATCTCAATTGTTTTAATGACTAGTTTTCACCACTTTCAGTTGTCTCTCCTGCCACTTAAGTTGTTCTCTAACTCTTCGTCGTTTTCTTACCGTATTTCTTCAGTTATTCTCTGGTATAGTGATTTAACCAGAAATGAAACAAGTACAATATTTGACTTTCTTCGTCGATTTTCCTACTGTCACGATAGCCTTCTCCTAATGCAGAAACTGCTTCTAGAAGTATTTTGAAGCGTCAAGTTTGTCTAGCTCTTGTAGTAGTCGACCATTGTTCCGCAGGATTTATTCATCTCTTCTTGTATTACCCAATGTGGTCAAGATAATGATCGCTTTACCTTGTGCGCAAAATAGGCACAAAATGGGCTTTTTGTTAATATTTATCAGAACTTTGGCCGTTCTCCGGTTTTCGAACCGTTGTGCGTCGATCTGCCCCAGTCAACATCTTCAAGTCTCACCCCCATCACAAAATCGTTGCAATCAGTATTGTATCATACTCAGCTTTACTGTTCGCTGGCCATATATTGTATACTTTTACGTTTGGTTTCTTAAAAAAAGTTAATGCTGTTTAAAGTGGTTTTTTTATGGACGCAAAGGTAGAGTCCAAGCGTAAATGTTTGATAGATTCATAAAGAAATTATTTTCCAGAAATATTACCGTATTAAGCTTCTGATTTCATAGTATTTTCCCATTTTACACTTATATAAAACGAGATTTGTTTTTTTAAAGCTGAAATTACTGATGACGTCAAACGAGAACATGCAGAATCGAGGGACACACAAATTTCTTGTGGAAGATGCCGTGCTTGTGATCGTAGCATGGAGGCGGTACTGATACAACAGACCATGAGTCAGTTAGGCTTAACACCTAGTGATGATGAGGTTCGTTTAGTAAACTGGACATGGAGTAATCAACATTTGCTTTTTTGATAATGAAGCATTGTAAGCGAGTTATTTTCCAGAAAGATGACACGGTCTGTTTTTGTTCAATGAAGTGCTATTACCAGTTTGTTGCTGCGAGCAAGGTCTGTTGTGCTGTCGTTTCGTTGGTTCTACATGAACGAAAAACATCTATTAGATGCAGTTATCTTGATACTTACTTGACACTTGATACTTGGTACTTGAACGGCCCGTCCTCACTGGTTGTGCGGGCTCTAGCATAACGTATATTTTTTCCGAAATTTGCTGGTTAAGCAATTGTGGTTCCCTGGAATCACGAGGTCAGCATGGCCAAAGTCTGCTCCAGGTCTTCGCCACCACAGTCAGTGGCAGCTTTTGTGGATCAGAGGGAGGTTTACCACCATGCGGCTTTGATACCAGGACGGTGATGGATCCTGGTATTGGTTTACTCTTAGCTAGGCTTCCTGATGAAAACGCTGAACTCAGCTTGGGAGACCCTGCTAGAGGGATGAATCCCCTCGTTGTGCATCGAAGTCCGGCGCCCAGGAATACCTCCCAGCCATGATGAGGCGGAAAACCGTCGGGTGGATGCAGCTATCTAGCATTAGTATTAAATAGCGCAGTAAGTGCTTTTCATCTACGCTTGGAATCTACGAAATTTAGGTAGCCTTGTCTCCGGATCAGCTCACAGCAGCTGAGTCACACGTCGACGAGGAAACATTAGCCAAGTTGCGTCAGATAAGCGCGGAAAGTTTTGCAAAGTGCATCAACCAAGGAAAGGTATTGACGTGATCGTTTCTTCTTCAATTTTTCAGTTAAATGAAGAGTACAAGTTAGCACTTGTTAATTTTCTTTATTCTTCGTGTTCGACAAACACTGAAATTCAGTATAGTAAAAAGGATAATTCGCCTCATAAGTTTCATTGTTCTAAGTTCTGTTCTAGTATCGTAGTTTATTTGAGATGCGCATGGAGCTCCCGTCTGCTCCAGCTCTTCCTCCTGATGCATTTTTAACATCACCACGTGACACTCGATACATCATGGATGAAGGTCGGAGAGATAATGTACAGGTGATTGTTTGCTTTGTAGTGAAAGAGGAGTTTATTTATAATGAACCACCGGTCTTATCATATTTAGATCATTCGTGTGAGTGACTTGGCAACGATCCAGGATGTTTCTCAGCGAAAGGATTCTGGTCGTACTCCGGGTGAAGACTGGAAGACATACAATCGGGACTTGTTGCAATCGTTCTATAAGATCCATCAAACGAAACAAGTTTGTGAACTTCGTCTAGTACTGGTGGAAATGCAGACTGTTTTATTTCCTCTTTCACACAGTCATTCCTTTTCGTGTTATATCCCTCAAGTAATTCATGAACACGTTAGCTTACAAATTTCTAATTTGCAACTCTCATGTAATAGTGCGAGTGGGTTTTTTGTGTTAGGAAAATGGAAAGGTAATGATCGTTCTGACGTAAATCTAAACATTTCTTCTTTCAGGAATTGGCGTTATCACCAAAGATGGGTGTTGGATTAAGAATGTCGTTCGAATTAGATCGTCGAGTATGTGTTCTTTGTGGTGGTGTTGGCGATGGTGAACCAGCTTTGTGTGGACGTCTCCTCAACCTTAGCGCTAATCTATGGGTTCATGTGAATTGCGCTATGTGGAGTACAGAAGTATGGTTTTTTTCAATTCATGCGGTTTAATTCTGTGGTTATATCAAGGAATGCATGAAATGTTCACTAAAATAAAGTTGTGGGAGTCCATGCCGTAGCTTCAGGAAAAGAGCTCTTGCAGGTATTTGAGACCACGTCAGGAGGCTTGCTTCATGTAGATCGTGCAATTGTTCGTGCTGCTGGTGTCATCTGTCATCTATGCGGACGTGTCGGGGCTAGTGTTCAATGTCATAAAGTTGATTGCAACGTGAATTTCCATCTTCCGTGTGCTGCTAAAATACAAACTGCTAAGTTTGTCAAAGACAAGGTTTGTACGTTTGAATTACTTTCTGAATAATTTTCCGCGATACTGTTTGAAGTTTTTGAACTGTTCCATATCGATTGTTAGCAATATCCACTTCCTTGCTAGAATTACTTTTTATCCACTGCCTATCTTTTTTTTCATGGTAGCGTTTTGTGTGAGACACAATCACAATGATGCTGAGATATTTGCGAAACTGAGACCCTAGAGCAAAATCTCCGCCATGATTGTGGCAGTTTCAGTATTGTCGAGCGTTTCGAAGGACTATTATTTGATTTTGGATAGTGTTTTAGCTTGTGCTGAGTACAGTTCTATTGGAATAAATTTTGTTTGTCTCATATTTTCAGACGTTCTTTTGCACTAAACATCCGGAAATCAGTCCTGAGGTTATGGTGACCTCGCTGGAGGCACTTCGAAGAATATACATTGAAAGAGACGAAAACACATTTTTGTCGCGACTTTTCGATCACCCGGATTCCAATACGCGGTTATGTTTGCGTTTGGGCGCGTTGGCTTTTTTCCAAGTTGGACAACTGCTTCCGGAACAACTGAAGACATTCCACAATGCGACACACATATTTCCAGTAAGTTCATACTTTTGCAATTTTTCTAATGTTTTTTTATTGCACGTAATATTTTTCTCTAGCACAAATGTTTCTGAAATTGGTTATCTTAAGCTTCTTTTGTTGCAAATTGTTACGTTTGTTGTGCTTCCTGATGATTTTGGCACGTACTCTCATAAGTGTTAGCATCTTTAATAAAATTGCTACAAGTATAATACAACCACAATGATGCTTAGATATTTGCAAACGCGGATTCCTGTTCAGATTCGAACCCGCAATTACCTTTCGCAGGTGCTCATGTGTTACCCACTGAAGTCGTTGGTTTGGCCTTCTCTATTTTTCTACCGTAGCGGTGCTATCAGCAATCACCCATAAACGGGAATAATCTGTAGAGCACAGATCAGCATTGAAAATTGTTGATATTTCAAGTGTACTTTGGAAGTTATTAAGATTTCTTACAGATATCGTATATGGTTTCCCACCAAGTTCTCCATTTTATTCCGTCTTTTTTAACTGCAGACTGTACTTTAGAATGGATATCATGTATCGCGATGGTTTTGGTCACCAACTGACTCGCGAAAGCGAACACTCTTTGACTGTCACATCAAAGATGTTAATCATCGCCCAAAATTCGTCGTTTGTTGTGAAGATCATACCTACGAAGGCGATTCTGCTACTGGTAGGAAAACATACTTTAGTTGTTCAATGACACTCGGGAAGAATTTCTTTTAATCGTTTGAGCGAGAGATTATGGTGCTGATTCTGCCATTTCTAGAGGCATGGTCGGAAGTGGTTGCATCTGTCGAGCGTTTGCGAGCACAAACTGATGCTTTGCGCTTCGTGGCAAAAGGGATTCAGGGAGAGACTTTGTTTGGATTAAATGAGTCAGCTATCAGCAAGATTACGGAGTCTGTACGTGAACTATGTTGCCATGCTTTTTGAAAAGTTCACTGTTGTTCTGTTTAGTTGAGACTCAGTGACTGAAATAGTTTCCATAGCAAATCATTTATGAACTTGAGGCTATTACAAGAGCTTAACTGAATATAAGAGTAGTTTTTGTAGTAACTCCCAAGTCCGACTTTCTATTAACCTCGGCATTGATTGAATGTATCTTTCTACTTCTGTTCAGCAAGCACGAGGTGCTATTTTATTTCTTTATTTACGCACAAGCTGACGTTTCGGTGGATTTCGCCTTCCTCAGAGCCTGGAAGGGTCAAGTTGACAGCAATCCATTCGGCCAAACACCTCCATAACCAAACAGAGAAAGCGCTAAACCAAGATTTCAATCACATTTAGCATAGCTCTGCACACTCACCGCTTTCTATGAGTCTTCCACTGAGTATGTCGCGTGAAGGCCGACCGCACAGAATTCACATGGAAGCGTAATGTGCCTCTCCCATCAGAATAACAGGTTTATATACTGTCCAATATCACACGTGATAACGAGGCATTCCTCCCTGCGGTTCATTTTCGGATTCTTGGAATTTATCCCGGGCATTTTTTGTGGCTTTTTTATTTGTAATTTTGTGGTAATTTTTGCAATTTTTTGTGGCTGCATGCAAGCTTCATATGCGGAAAATCGTCCAAAGTCCTAAAACAACTTCTCACTGGAAGAAACAGTTTTCTTAAGGGGTTTCAAATCCATAGGTTACTTGTGTTCTTGTCCTGGATATTTTTATCTTACCTGATTATAGTTTTATGCCCTACTGTTATAATGTCATAATGCTCTTGTTCTTGCGTTTTCTAGTTGCCTGGTGTTGACAGCCTGTTCACATATACGTTTCGTCACCCTAATAGTCCATTGCTGGATCTTCCTCTTGCCGTCAATCCTTCTGGCTGTGCTCGTTGTGAGCCGCGATTTCGTACTCTGATCAAACACAAGCAACGTGCTCTTGCCAGTGCACCATCAACAAGGTGTAGTACAACGTATCAAATGTATTAGTATAAAAAGTGAAACCTTTTATTAGATTCGATATCCATTTAGTCGTTCCATGCGAGACGGTGGTACTAACAGTAGTGGTAGAACACGAGGTCGTATTGCAGCGTCATTTACGGATGAACTAGCAGCTGCTCAGATGCGAGCCATGTTGCAAGCTTCTGGTATAGGATCTGAGTGGGCTTTGGTAATCAACTGTTCCAATCTGTTCATTTATCATGTAACTTATGCTGGACTTTTTTCTTTACTGCAAAAGGCATTTAATTAGTGCCCTATACTTTGTCACGAGTCGTCTTGTTTTCACAGATAATTCACAGTTTACTTTCTTTCATAAAATAAACTCCAATAGTTCTCCATTCTAGGCACTAAGTGGTCGCGAACCGTTCAGCAGCTCGCAAAGTTATACATTGTATCAAAAAATGCGCAAAGATTGGCGTCAAACGGTCTACCTAGCTCGCTCGAAAATTCAAGGCCTTGGTCTGTATGCGAAGCGTGATATCCATATGGGTGACATGATAATTGAATACAAGGTTTTTCATCCTTCTCAGCTTATTTTATTTGCTATGCGTAAACTTTTTTTTGTTATATCTGTTAGTGGTTTCTCGAAGTATCAGTATTATCTTCATTGCGGTTATTATCATGAAATTCAGGGCGAGGTTATTAGAAGTGAAGTTGGTGAAATGCGTGAAAAACGTTATGTTGCCCAAAATCGCGGAGTGTATATGTTCCGAATCGATGAAGACCTACTCGTTGATGCGACTATGGCAGGTGGACCAGCACGGTGAGATTTTGTCGATGTTCATGGAAGCTTCCTCGTTCCTTATGTCGTGTTGTTAGTTTAATTGTTTAGGTACATAAATCACTCTTGTGATCCCAACTGCTCTACACGAATACTTGCCGCTGGACCTTATCCAGAAGACAAAAAGATTATTATTACTGCTAATCGTCCAATTAAAGCATTGGAGGAGGTAACCGTAATAATCCTACTGTTTATCCTCGGTTTTAGTTATTGACGTTCATAGCATTCAACACAGTGTGTTGTAGTTCCTTTTTTTCTCTTTTCAGACCACTTTTGTTTTTCATTATGATAGTCGCTATACAGTCGTAGTTCCTTAGCCAAAAATTACGCATCCAAATTTCTTCAGTTCTTTTTTCTTCTAAAATCAAAACAGGGAAGTCCTTCTGCAGAACCTAAAAGTGCCTGCAGAACCTAAAAGTGCATGCATTGAGTAGTGGCCCCATGTTGTCGTGGTATTTGGACATGAATATTTTGGTTTCAGTTGACGTATGATTATCAGTTTGAGTTGGAGGACACTACAGACAAGATTCCGTGCTTATGTGGAGCGCCCAATTGCGTGAAATGGATGAACTAATAAATACGAACTTTACCATATAGACTGATGCTTGGAATCATATTGCATCAGTGATTCGTCGGTGCACATAGTGCGCTTTGTTTGTTTTAATATTTTCTATTTCGAAAACAGTTCCAGGTAATAACCTGTGGTTTTAACTTATATGTAGAAAAGTGTTTCGTGTCTGTGTTAAGTGTCGAGGGTGAGACAGACGCCGCCGGACGGTGCCCGCTCCGTAGTTTTATAGGATAGGAAATAAGTTTTATAAGACTAGCGCATGTTAAAGACGTGGACTATTCTAATCTTCTGCTTTTTTACTTTACTCGTAACTTTAACATGTATTTTTATTTTGTACATAGTTGCAAATGACCAGCTAATTTGTTCCACGTAGGAATTGCACACGCTGTTTCCGTCTTCACCTACCTCAAATTGCTGGAATTTAGGATAAAAGACTGCGGATAGTTGTTTTTAGCGATGATGACGACGTAACCACTAACCAGTACTAAGTTTTTCTTTTTATTCTGTCATCATCGTTATCCATGTGCTAGAGCCATCATCATCCCCACTATCGCACATTTACATCACCATGGCCCTCTAACACCACACACCATTTGTCATTCTCAATCTCTGTGTTCTCTTGTGTCTATAGTCGTCAGTGGTCTCGTATACGTTTGTCAATGTACCACGCTAAATATTAATATTTCAACAATATTTTCTTACCTAACATTATTTACTTCTGTCGTGCTTGTATAAGCTTTCTATTGTTCATATTTCAACAGAATATCATTTTCCTACTCATCACATTTTTGGCACTAACAATCGTCTTCACATCTACTAACCATTCATAAATTATGATTTGCACAGTTATCGAGTTCATTTGTATTACATGTTTGTGTATTCGTCATGTTCCATTGCGCAATCGAATGTTGTAACTGTGCTAGATTTGATAGAAACTTGTTTACTATTCTACTTTTTTATATCTCTCGAACCCTCGTGATTTGCTTACAGTTTTCATATGTTTGAATGACTTCGTTGCTCCGGCACGATCATCGTAGTGACGTGGCTTTTGCCTTAATTGTATTCCTTTGTCTACGATGTTGTTTTGCCGGAACGACATTCCATTATACAGTGAGGGAGTGCCTACCCGTTTATAGAAACGCATTCAGCGTGTATAACCTTACATATGTTGTACGTTTGGAACTTATTAAGTACCGAATAGATTTATTTTCGAATACTGTGCTTTCTTTGCAAAAATTAATCTTCTGAACTAAAGTAGGCTTCACTTTTCCATGTTTTATGTAGGCTGGACAAGCACCATGTCGCACAATTTCCAATTTGTTCAACTGATTTTGTTGGACAGCAGTTGCATTCATGACTAAAAGTCCTGGAACGAGAGTTCAAATCTCTGCGGAACCATGCGTTTTGTCATAAATGTGGGTTGATCTTAGCGAAAAACCGGCCACAGCCGAAAGAATGTACAAAGTCCACGTCCAGGTTTTTTTCGTGAGAGAATGCCAAGCTACGCGTGGGTGGCACTACGCAAACATAGTGAAGTAAATGGGCGTGGTTCAATTGGCCTCGAAAGGGCTCTCGATACCTCAGTGCTGGGTAGGACGTATAGAGTGGTAAAATTGCAAGGTCTTTCTAGTCCGCATAAGTCAAAGCGCTAAGGCTTGTACTTACAATGTATGTTCACTTGCATTCGAGTCCTCCATTGAAAACGATGATGCATGCTAAAAGAACTAGGTACGATTTAATAGGGCTGCCCGAGAAGGCGAGGTGCAGGCAATTTGACGCCATCTTTGATTCTGGAAAGGGAATGTACCTTGGAAAATGCGGCATTAGAGGAGTCGGTGGCGTTGTGGTCTTAGCCAATACGGGTTCGTCTATGAGCCCTCCTCTGGACCTCAAACACTAACAAACCGGCCTCAACGAGATGTTGACCAGTACCGGCTTTGACGGTCTTCGTTGTCTACACATTGACAAGAAACTATGATGAAGACGAGGACGGAGCATTCTATATGAACTCGAAGGATCTCTCCAGTAGGAATGTAACTTCTTTAACGTCAATAATTGATGATTTCAACGCGAAGATTGGATCTGTAAGGCACCACATCGTGTCCACAATCAGAATCGACCGAACAGGGTGAGCGGCCGCCTTAGTTTAGTAGTGACAAGGACCGTGGTAACTCACAATTTCAGAAGCCCCTCTTAACGCTGGAGTTTCCAGATGAAGAGTACCATCATTTAAGAATAAAATACACCACATAACAGTAAATCGACGGTTTGCTCAACTGAATTTGCTATTTATATGGTGGGAAATGCTGTTGCTGTTGTCCCAAAATTTCACATGATTTCGTACTATCGCTTCCCTAAGTAAGATTTCTTTTTTCGTGGAAAGGAGAGAGCCGCAAAATGCAAGAAACAGAACCCCAAAATCCAAAATAAATTAGGGGCTTATTCAGACTATTGATCGAATTTTAGGAATGTGTTACAAAGAATATAAAGAATAAAGTTGCATTATTTTCTACTAGATAATGTTTATTTGGTCGATTTGTCGACAGTTGGTGCTATGAATGCCTAGAGTTCGAAAGTCACCAAGAAACGTCTATCTCTAGGAAATTGCGACTCTGCAGGTGAACTTGCAAAGCTCTGCCAATGAAGAGATCTTAAGAAGAGAAGAGCAGCGATGACGGCTACTGTTGCAGAGGTTGGGAAGGGCATCTGCAACAGCCGACGAAAGTGCACTTTTAATATAATCACCATCTTACGCCTGGATATAACGGTAACTGTGTCCAGAAAGGCAATAGAGAAAATCATCCACGTTTTTTAGTCCGAACTATTCAACAGCTACTTTTTGCATCCTACAAAATTAAACAAGATGGTTACTTCGTCCCTCTGGTTCTTCTTCCCGAAGTCAAACACTCTATTTTGTTGTTAATCAAAAAATAGCCGGTCCAAGTGTGGTACGACTCGAACGCCTGAAAACCCACCCGTCAATGGTCACCGGCACACCAGCACTGCAGTCCACAAGATACCAATCAGAATTCGTAGATTCGTAATTCATAAAAGACCATCAAGATTGTCCTTTGTCAACGGTAACTGTGACTCAATCTGCTTACACTCTACAGCCTATAAATTCTCCGCTCAAGCGATCCTCAAGAGGGTTGACAGAATATTGGACGAAGGGCAGCCATGTGAGCAAGCAGGGTTTCGAAAAGAATTCGGTTCGATACACCACATCGTGCGATCATGGGAGTTGACGAAGCATTGGAGAAGTGGAAGAGACTGCTCTATCTCACTTTCATCAACTTGAAAGCGTCTCTGATTCCGTTGAAACAAGAACGGTTATAGAAGCTCCGGAGATCCAGGACGTCTTCACTTAGTAAATAAAGGTCTTTGGTGAGATGTATAAAAGTTTCGTAACCAGAATATCATTCTAGAACAGTACTGGCGTGTAAAGAAAAGCTACATCTGGGCAATTAAATCTCGTTAAAATTATTTGTAAACTAACTGGACAGGTCAAAATTGTTGCTGAAGAAGTAAACCGCCTTTACTTTGCTTATGATATCAATCCTTTAACATCATGAATAGCCGAGCGGATTGGATGGTGCCTGAATTCCATATCGCATTTGTAAACATTGTTCTTCAGCAGAACCTCGATAAGAAAAAGTTGAGAAGAAACGGATCTGTTTGTTTAGGGACTTTGCGATATGAGCAAAACTCAGAACCTCAGTTGCCTGCGATTACCCTTCCTGGGGTACACGTGTTATCTTCGCAGCAATCGAAGCCCTCACTTTTCCTTTCTCTCAGCCATTTTTTTTACTGTATCGATTCTATCAGTAATCACCCTTGAAAATAATAGTTAGAACAATGTGATTTAGACTAGTATATAAGCCGACGACAAAAGCAGTTGCGTATTCGAGGCCCACTTCAGGTTCTGAGTTTTGCTCATATCTCAGCATCATTGTAGTTGTAGTTCACATCGAACTTTACCATGAAAAAGAATGGGTAGCAGATAAAAGTTAAGGGACTATGATTTTGACTACAGCTTCAGTTTCGCTAGCTTCAATGCTTTTCTCCCTTCCCAGAACATTCTCGTTGACGGTTGGTTGCTGATAGCACCGATATAGTAAAAAAAAAACTGGCTAAGAGAAAGACAAAGCAAAGGCCTTGATTGGTGTGGTGAGTAGCAAGAGAGCCCTTTAATGGTGAGTTGAAAGCCGCTTTAGATTCCGACTTTTGTTCATACTTGGCCATCCTTCTGATTGAAGTTTACATCAAACTCTATCATGAAAACATAGTATGCAATAAATAAAGGTTAGGAAATTGGGTTCTATTTCTAATGCCTCATGCACGTTCAATGGAACGAATATCTCAAAACTCTACACTTGTTCATTTCTGAAACGAGAAGTCGATGTGAAAAGCGATTTAGTTCAAAACCTGAACAAAATGAAGAGAGCGGTTTGGAGAGCTTTAAGAAACCAAGCGCCAGATTTAGTAACAAAATACTCCAATCTATGGACGTCTTTTCAGCTCTACAATTTTTCCTCATTTAATGTACACTTCGGAGAACTGATTACTACGTGAATGAAAGACCAAACAGCGCTATCTAACGCTCCGTTGACACGACGATGCTGGAACTATTCCGTTTCAGGGAGGTTAGAGAAACTCTGACGATCCGACCTACGACAACGTCTAAAGATGAGAGAGGCCTCCGCAAACTTAAAAATGTTTAAACATGGAAAGGCCGAGCACAAAACGACCGTTAACGACAACCGGTAGACAAGAGTTGTTGTCGCCTTGTTCCTGCCGATGAATCGACCAACGAATCGATGTATATATAATAATCAACACCAATAACAAGTAATTATGAGATGTAACAGGTTTTCCACTCCAGAAATTATTCAGAGGTCGCCATTTGACTGCGACAGTACATCATCATGGCTCTCGCTTCTGATTTACTTTTCAGTGGTCATATTTTTAACTATGTTTCCGTGTAGCACGTTCTCTACGGACTA